ATCCCCAGAGCCCACATAAAGATGGAAGGAGGTTGTCCTCTGACCTCTACACACATACTGTGGCATGTGCAAACCCATACTTGCCCAAACTTCATAACACACTATAATGATAAATCAAAAATTTACCAAGCATTTAAAAAATGATCTCCACTTAGGAGAAGAAACAGGATTTCTGCAAGGTTCAGGCCAGCCTCAGCTATAGGGTGAATATTAGACCACTGTGGGCTACACATTAGGTCCCTGTCCCAAAAGAAATAAAACAATATAACAACTATGCCCAAAAGACCAGAATCCTATGCGGTGAGTGGCATGCACTCCATGGCCAGCATGGAGGGGCTACCACGGAAAATACCGGCAAGCACAGTCCACTAGTTACACTGAGAATTGTGGAGTCCTAGGGTGCTGAGGAAGACATGCCTCCACCCAGGACACTGGCACTATATCTTCCAGAGTCATCCTTTCTCTAGCCCAGGTCTTCATCGAGGACAGGGCCGAATCCCCTTACCTCAGGTCACCCAGGACTCCTAGAATTCACCCAGGACTCACCTAGAACACTAGGTGCTCTCAGATACCACTCTCAAGGGAAATGAAGACCGGCAAGACTCGCATCAGGTCCTGAATGCCAGCAGTTGAGTATGAGGTGGGGGAGGGAACACTTCTCACCAACCCTTCTTTCTCAGCTATAATTGGAACAAAGAACTAGTCATTTGCTCTCTTTCTCCTTTCACCTGATGGAGCCTGTCAACAGCCCCCTCCCTCAGCAGTAAAAAGAGACAGAGGAAATGTCTTCATCTTCCAAGACAGAGTGTGTGCCTCCCTTCAGAACCGAGCTTCTCTGGGTGGAATATCTGTGTGGATGGCTGGTGGGTTGGCTGTGCCTCCTTAGACCAGGCACCTGGATTTTTTTTCAACCAAAGATTTCCTCACAGTTGAGCATGGACGGTTTAAGTAGCTAGGCATGATAGCGCATACCTGATATCACCAGCACTCAGAAGACTGGGGTTGGAGGATCACCAGTTCAAAGCCAGCCTAAACAACTTAGCAAGCCCTTATCCAAAATAAAATTTAAAAGAAAAAAGTGAAGAGCGATGGGGATATAGCTCAGTGGCAGAGTGTCTACCTAGCATAGCAAGGCTCTTGGTTCAAACCCTGGTGCTGACAAAAAGAAAAACTCAGTTTGTATTGTCTGGTAACAGTTTCTCTTCACAAGGGGCAGCAATGCCATATTAAAAATGGAAATGTCTGCTCCACCTTTTCATCAGAACTCTGAATTTACAGGGTAGCAGGGACTCCCAGCTCTTGGCTATGGCAGAACAAACAAAGCCAAGAGATACATGTGGCTGCTTCGGGGGACAGGGTGGAAGATCCGAGGGTGGCAGGTGTATTGTGCGAGTGTGTGCGCAGGCGCCTGGGTGGATCTGAGTTCTTACTGTGGGTGTGTGTGATGTGTGTGGGCTGTGGAATCTGGGCCGGTGAACGGGACCTGCTTGTATGGGGAGTGGGGAGGCCGGGGCGTATGATGACTCATCTCTCTGAGTGTGGGAGGGTTTATCTGGTGGGGGGGTTGACTTTTTGGTCCAAGGCATCCAGAGGAAGCTTTGTTTATCTTCAGAAATCAAGGAGGTCCCAGGGTCTCAATGGGATGACAATGATGGCTCCTAGAGCATGCATCTGCCTGTACCGAGGGGTGCTGTCCCTGGCGTGGGAAAAGTGTAGGTAGAAGAGATAACAGGCAGTTCACAAAGGGAGTTTATAAGAAGACAAAGCAAAGGAAAGCTAACTTAGAATCCCAGCCTTCCCAAGTCTCCCGGCTCAAAGTCTCTGCTGTCCAGTGTGTGACATGGGAAGTGTAAGAGACACAGTAAATATCTTCTGTCACCTCTGACTGTCACCTGTATGGTCACCTCAGTCCTGCCTGTCTGTTGTTTTTCCTAGGAGCTGTTAACAGTTATGTTCTTTGCACATGAACTGTAAGGATGAAAAGAATGCCCACTTTGTTCCTGGCAGAGCCTGGGACTCCACTGTCAACTCATCCTCGCCCACTCCATGGTGTTATCCTTTTGCAAAGACAAAGGGACAGAAGCTCAGAGAGATGAAGCCACTTGCCCAAAATCATAAAGTAGATCCCTGGCAAGGCCAGCACTCAAGGCCAGGTGGTCAATGCCCCCAAACCTTGTACTCTTGAGGCACCCACCCCATCCCTGGGGCCTCACACAGACTTCAAGAGTTGCTCACTGGGCTCACATCAGGAGCAGTGCCTGACTGTGCCTGGGGGAGGGCAAGCTGGAGGAGGACTTGGCAAAAGAGTCCCTAGTCGAAACGGATTCCATACCAGTTGCAGCTGAATACAGAATACATTTTCTGTTCATGACAACCATTGCTTCTCCAAGTCAGTCTGGACGCTGAGCAAAAGTTGTGGAGTTCTGCTACCGTCTGTCCCAAATTCCCTTCTCTGTATAAAGCCAAAGGTGTGCTGAAGGTGGGACTACTCACTCAAGAGAGCCAGTCATCTTCAATCTAGGACCAGGAGCCCAGCAGGTATATGCTCTTGCAGTTGACCACACCCCACCCAGGGTTCACAGAATAATTTCCCCAGGGTCTGGTTTCTCAGAGGTTACCCTTCCTAACAAAAAGCTGATCATGGTCAGAAAAACGGATCTAGACACCTGTACCTGAATGTCCAGAGCAAGCAGGGCCAGCTTAATTTCAGTCATGCCAGGTCAACATCCAATAATCAGAGAACTGGCCCTGAAGTCCAGACCCACATGCCTACCTCTCTGCCATGTACTCTAGGGAAAGTGGTAAGAACTGGAATCCCCTTAAGGGGTTCAGGGCAAAAGGAGCACCCCTGGGCAAAGTCAGGAAGTGAAGAGCAAGGTGTCGTGGCCCTAGACACATGGGAGTTCGGCCACAAAACTCTGAATCTCTGCTCACACACAACCCTGGCCTGATTGACTTCACCTTCAAAGCAGACTTTGAAGTACTGATGGAGGCTGATGGCCTTGAAAGCACCAAGTAGAGGGTCAAGATCCTCAGCAAGTCATCTAGGGGGTGATATCCGCACACTGGGCCCTGAGTCCCTGGCAGACCCAGTGCCTGCTCCCACCTCCCCATGGAGAATTACTACCATCTTCCTAAGTGAACACTCTGGAAGGATCATGTCTGCTTTGCCTGTTTCTGAGTTCCCAGAGCTTACAGCATCTGGCCATAGTAAATGTTCAATAAACATTTGTTGACAGAGAGGTAAGAACTCTTTAGGCCAATGAAGATAGATGCTTGGAGTGAGGGCAGGCCTGGGTGAAGGGCCCCACTCTCAAGTGCTGTGGGATTCTCCCCTTCTGATAGGTCCAGTCACCTCAGGGTGCCACCATAGCTGTTCCAGAGCAGGCACCTCTAGAAAGCAGTTTTGCTCAACAGTCTATCCAGAATCCTGAGTGATGACTGCCCTGCTGGGAACACCAGGCTGCTTGACCACCCACCTTGGCCCCCCACACCTGCTTCGAGGACCTAACCAAGACTGAGTGTGTGAGTACACGTGTAGATACACACACACACACACACACACACACACACACACACACACAACGTGCATGAGCCTGGAACCTCGGGAGGGCCTCAATGCCCAAGGGTCAGGGAAACTCTCCAGCCTTACCCACGAAAACAACAGCATAGAAAAGGCCGCCTGGGACCAGGGCTGGGCAAGGCACAGACAGGCAGGAGCATTATATAATTAACTGCCCAGACTCCGCCTCCTCTTCGGGTAATAACGAACCCTGTCTTTCAGTTGCATAAGCCAAAATAATAATTACTTTCCAGCCCTGATCACTCCTAGATGTGGCCAGGAGCAGGTGCTGGCTTCAAGCAGGAGCTGGCTTTAAGGCAGGAGCTGACTTCAGGCACAGAGAACACACACAGGCTCCATCAAGCTCTCTATCCCCGGCAGAAGCCCAAGTCATTGCTGCATCTCACTCCCTTCCCAGGCATCCATGCCCGAAAAATCAGAAGCCGCCCAGGCCCAGAGGGAGGCAAGAGAACAGCCTCTTGGGATGAGCGCCTGGAGGGGGAGGGGGCCGCCAGGCAGAGTCGGCCTTGGGGTCTGACTCCCATGATCTAGAACTATTCCCGAGGTCTCAGCAGCTCTGAGGAGTGGGCACAGGAGTGTCCAGGTAAGGTGGCGGCAGCTGCTAAGCCAGCCAGGACTTCTGAACAGAAACCATCACACTGGCAGTTCCCTGGCTTCCGGAACAGGCTCTGCCCGGACTGTGGTGGCATCTTACACCGGAGGCGCAGAGCGATTCCCTAAACTAAAGGTGAAAATGATTCAGCCACTGAGCGGCCAGATTCCTGGGCTCCCGCTAAACAGATGGGCCTCCTCCCTCCCTTCCTCTCTCCAGCAGCCTGCTTCCACAGCCTGTGTCCAACCACCTAGAAGTTTATTGCCTTGCTGTTTGGTTTGGTTGGCGTCCCCCGCCTCTGGCGCTCCCAGCGCTCCCTCTCCATTGGCTTGGGGGGCTGTGGGACTGAGGGTTGCTTTAGGACTGAGGGAGGCCCTGGGCACCGCAGGAAAACAAGAAGCTAACCAGGGCCTGACTGTGGGGACACCAGGCGGGCAACACCAAGGGAGGGGAAGGGTCTATAATCAGGCCCCTCCTGCCTTGGTGGGTCCCAGAGGTGGCAGAGGACCCGGCCTGGCCTTCAGGCAGGTGCAGATCTCTGGCCTGCTCCTCAGGATACACTGAGACTTTGGCTCAGCTGCTGCAGCAGAGGCCTGGCCCTGCTGCTGAAGAGCCCCCAACCCTTGAGTTGGCACGGGCCGTGGTCCCCATCAAGCATGGGGCAACCTGTGGCCAGGGGCCCGCTGAGGCCTCCTGGGAACCTAGGAGATGCCCCAGGAGCCCATAGCCCAATTGGAAGGCGAGGCTCAACTTCCCCGGAGATAAACAGAAGGAGAAAGAGGGATCGGTCCCCAGTCCTCCCCCGCCCCCGCTGCCCGCACCTACCTCCATCCGAGTAGGTCTCCGTGCCGTAGCCATCCTGCAGTCCGTTGCTCCAGGTCCCCTCGTATTTGGCCCCGTTGCCCGTGCACTCCCGCACACCGTAGCGCCCCTTAAATCCGTGCGTCCACTCGCCCTTGTACACCCACTTCCCCTTGCTCTCCAGGCCGATGCCGTGGCGCTTGCCCTGCGCCCAGGTGCCTTGGTACATGTTGCCGCTGGGCCAGGTGTAGAC